TTTAGTACAGTGGCACCGCACCTGCCTCACAAGTGCAAGGTCCTGAGTTCAATCCCCAGTACCGGGAAAATAATAATAATAATAATATTACTTAGAAAAAGTTCAAAAAAAAATTACAAAAAATTCCTTTCACCTAATTTCCCTAAAAGTTAACATTATATATGACGATTGTAAAATTCTTAGCTATAGGAAATTAACATCAGTACTGGTAACTAATCTACAAATCTTATTCATATTTCAACAACCATTGCACCAATGCCCTTTTACTGGATCAGTATCCATTATTTCTCCTTAATCTTCTGTGACCTGGGATGCCAGTTTAGTGTTTTATTATCTTTCTTTTTTTTATTATTTTTATTATTCTGTGAGACAGGGTCTTGCTATATAGTTCAGCCAGGCCTTGAACTGCAGTCCAGGCTGGTCTCAAACTCACGGCAATCCTCCTGCCTCAGCCTCCTGAGTGCTGGGATTACAAGTGTGTGCCACCATGCCTGGAGGCATTTGTCTTTCATGATTTGTTCAGCTAATTATTAGCTTAACTAGGCAAGGGCCGGCATTTAGCTCAGTGGTGCCACAGCCTGCCTCACAAGTGCAAGGGCCTGAGTTTGATCCCCTGTACTAGTGGTTACTCACTACTAGGTGTTATTAACAGTTACTAGCTACTGGTTAGTTACTTTGTATAGTCTCAATTTGGGTTTGTCTGTTTTCTCAGGATTAAATTCACATCATTCATTCTGGACACATATACCTCAGAAGTGACACTGTGCCCATCTTGGTGCATTATATCAGAAGGCACACGATGTCAACAGTCTTAATATTACTGGTGATGTTAACTGATTAGTTAGCTGAGATGGTGTCTACCAGGTTTCTTCACTGTAAATTTTTCCCTTCTTTTTAACCAAGATGTCAGTGTAGAAAACAAATTACTGACAATTTTACTACTGTTTATGTTAATTTTTTTTTTTTTGGTACCGGGCGTCAAACTCAGGACCTTGTGCTTGCGAGGCAGGTGCAGTGCCACCGAGCTAAATCCCTGGCCTATTTATATTCTTTTTTTTTAAATTAACTTATTTATTTTCTTGGTACTGGGGATCAAACTCCGGTCCCCCTATGTTATTTTTTAAATGGTCTTAAATACTGTCCCATGAGAACAATCTATAATGGTCTTGCCATTATGAAGCCCACTGTTACTTTTCAAAATGTATTCATTTATACATTCAACATGTTAGTTCAGATCGTGTAATATTTTACAAATTAAATATAGTGTCTGACAAAACAGACCAATTAGTAGCCAAGAAAAACAAGCAAAAACCAAATATAATCTAAGATAAGTTTGTTAAGGAAAAGATAAATGGGTATGGAGAATCTAAGGGTAGTCAGGGAAGAATTTTCCGAGGCGATGACATTTACACTAAGACTTCAAGTACAAAGAGCCAGCCAGGCAAAAACAAGGGAAGATGGAGTGGGGAAACCCCACCTAATTACTGGGAAGAACAAAAGGCCTGAGGAAATGAAACAGAAAGTAAAAGTAAATGTGCAGTAGTAGCATTATGAAAGAGGAAGCAGGCCGGGGATTTAGCTCAGTGGTTTCGCTGCCTGCTTCCTGCTGCCTGCTGTGCAAGCGCAAGGATCCGAGTTCAATCCCAGGTACCAAAAAAAAAAAAAAGAGGATGCCTGGTGTGGTGACCCATACCTATAATCCCAGCACTCTGGAAGGCTGAGGCAGGAAAATTGCAAGTTCAAGCCCAGCCAGGGAAATCTAGCAACTTAGTGAAATCTCATCTCAAAATAAAAAAGAGGGGTACGGATGTACCTGTGTGTGAAGGCCATAGGTTCAATTCCAGTACTGCCAAAAATAAAACAAAGAATGATTTGAAAAGGCCATACATATCATATAGGAAAGAAAGGACTATATCATATTTCAAGCTCAATGAAAAACTACTGAAGGGTTTTTGTTTTTTGGTACCAGGGATCGAACTTGGGACCTTGTGGTTGCGAGGCAGGCAGCAGCACCACTGACCTAAATCCCGGTCACCTAAAGGGATTTTAACTAGGGACTGTCATGATTCAAGATATCTGCTCCCACAGCAAATGTCTACCAGGAATAGGAAGCCCCTATCTAATCTCCTCCCTTAAGGGGGGTGGGGGTGTCTCTAAATACTTTTCTCTGGGCAGACTGATTGATTATAGGTGTGCTTGCTCTACTGCAGGCCACTAAGTAGCCAACTCTAGACTAAAGTGAGAGCCGCAGTGAGATGTGCTCTGCTCCCTAGAGTACCAGCCTGGCCACTCATCTGTCTACTTCTCTACACAGCCTGGACAGCCTCTACACCCTGAGACCCTGATACTGATCACCCCTTTGGCTCCTGCCTTGGCCACAGGCTCCCAGTCCCGGCCCAGGCCTGCGCTCCAGTGGGTTGTCAAATGTGCAGCTCAGCTCAGTTTCCCAGGCACACTGACCCCCAAGTGGCACACTGGGGCCGAAGAGACAGCCTGGTTCTGTGCTCACGAGTGCATTTCCTGGTGGCCACAAAGCCCAAGGAAGTGGCTGTCCAGAGCAGAGCCTGGACATCAACGGCTGCAGCTACATCAGCTTCCACCTCCTAGTGTTCCTGACCTCCACTTTGGAAGACTGGCGACAGTCTCCTGGAACTCTCCTGGTGGAGCACAGGGTCGTGGGCCTCTTCAGAGTAGCCAGGCTACACAAGCTTAAGTATCACAGTTTCTTTTCTGTGAGAAACTCAAAACATAACAAAGAGCAAAACAGAGTTAAAAGGTAAGCCAGGCCTGATGCCACATGCTTGTAATCCCAGAGGCTGAGGCAAGGGTATTGCCACAAGTTCAAGACCAGTGTGAACTACATAGGGAGATCCTGTCTCAAAAAAACAATCAATCAAGGCCAGGGATTTAGCTCAGTGGCACTGCCTGCCTCGGAAGCGAAAGGTCCTGAATTGGACCCCCGTAGAGAAAAAAAACAAAAACAAAAACAATCAATCAATGTAGATGGATAGATAATAGGAAACAGAAGATAGATCTTTTGCAAAAGGGGACCAAGAGATGGAGGTAGGATGGAGGGTGGGGAAGGAAAGGGGATAAAAAAATAGTAAAGATGTTTCATGTACATGTACCAACTCCCTGAGAGGAATGTAATTACTATGTACTACAAATATGTACTACTAAAAGCAGAAAGGGCGCACACCTATAATCTCTGCACTTGGAGGGCTGAGGCAGGAGAATCACTCAGAATTCGAGGCCAGCCTGGGCAACACAGTGAGTTCAAGGCCAGTCTAAACTACAACATGAGGCCCTGTCTCAAAACAAACAAACAAACAAACAATAAAAATAATATAAATAAAATACAGCGAGAACTTAAGATAAGGGGACTATCCATTTTTCTAGCTACACGGGAACTGGGGATAAGCGAGTCAGAACTCTGGGGGTTAAGTTCCAGTTCGTGCTACTGAACCCCTTTAGGGCTGACTCCTGAGCAGGATCCTGACATTTCAAGGGTCGTGGCGAGGAGGCAATGGGGAAGCAAGGTCTTTGACAGAGTAAGGCCTGCATCCTTAGGAGGAGGCTGTCAGGAGCCCCCCGAGCAGGGTGAGGATGGGAGGAGCGAGGCAACAGCTAAACCTTTACACCTGCAGCCTTTTCAGTTCCCGATCCCACTCCTAGGAGGTCAAAGTTATCTTCCCGCTCCAGAGATGGCAAAGGCGGAAGTGCCAAGAAGCCACCGCCGCACCAGCGGGTCGGAGCGGAGACTCAAACCCGGGTCCCCGGGCCGAGACCCGCACCAGGCCGCTGGCGAACCCCACGCCCGGAGCTCGAAGCTCGGGCTCCGAGCCCAGGCCGGCACCTGGCCCAGCTCCGCCCCGGGCTCAGGAGGACGCCGCTGGCTGCCCAGTGCCCCCGGCCCTGGCCGCGAAGGGAGCGGTGTAGCCGGCGGCAGCCACGGCCTCGGTTCCCTGAGGAGAAAGCTCGGCCTCCACCCGCCGCCCGACGGACGCCGCGGCGGCTCCCCGTCCCCGCGCCCCTCCCTCAGACCCCCACCACCTCCCGGAGCGGACGCCGCGGGAGCAACCCGGGAGCGGGCCGCCGCTGTCCTTCACCTGGAACGACAGAGGATACACTGAACCGCCTCGCTGGCCACAGACACCGAGCCTCCTCAGTCAGACTCCGACTGAACAACAGCCCCCAAGCCGCCTCGCCGCTTCCTACCGTCGCGGAGAGGCGCACCCATTGGCCAAGGCTGGTCCCTGGTGAAGGTCCATTGGATACCACTGTTGTCGCTCCCAGGTCCCCGCCTTCCGAGCCCCGATTGGCTCCTCGAGCCCCATAGGGGCGTGCCATTGGAAGTCTCAACCCCTACACTTCTGGAACAAGAGGTAGAGCTCAACTGTGAGCCTAATGCTGGGTTTAGTCACTGCCCCTGACTCAGGCTGATAATATTTGCATGAATAATACTGTCCAAACGTTACTAACATGTCTAATATATTAAGATAGCGAATGCCATTTGTTCTTGTCATGGGCCATTAATACTGATTAGGTCTGGGGATTTAGCTCAGTGGTTTCGTTGCCTGCTCCATAAGCGCAAGGACCAGAGTTTGATCCCCGTTACCAAAAAAACCAAACCAAAACAAAACAAAATAGTGATTAATGGGGCCGGAGATTTAGCTCAGTGGTTTCGCTGCCTGCTGCGCAAGCGCAAGGACCCGAGTTCGATCACCGGCACCAAAAAAAAAAAAAAATACTGATTAGTCTTTTGTTTCTTTGTTTTTATTTTTGGTACAGGAGATCGAACTCGGGTCCTTGCACTTGCAAAGCAGGCGGCGGAACCACTGAGCTAAATCCCTGGCCCTGTACTAGGTATTGAACCCGACTTCTCATTGACCTACATGCCCAGCCCCTTAATTTTTTTTTTTAAACTATGATGAATGGATAATTTGTTTTTCTTGGGTTTTTTTGAATGGATAATTTGTTTGTTTGTTTGTTTTGGTACCGGGGATTGAACTCGGGACCCTGCGCTTTCGAGGCAGGCTCCAGAACCACTGAGCTAAATCCCCGGCCCAAGCCCCTTAATTTTTTTTATTTTGAAACTGTTTCTCACCAAGTTGCTAAATTGCCCAAAATGAGTTCGATTGATCCTCAGCCTCCCAAATACTGGGATTACAGGCATGCACCACCACAACTGGCTAGCCCTATTTTTTTGTTTTGTTTTGTTCATTTTTTGAGACAGGGTCTCGCTATGTCGTCCAAGCTAGTTTTGAACTCAATATGTAGCCCAACTGGCCTCAAACTCACAGCGATCCTCCTGCCTCAGCCTCCTGAGTGTTGAGATTACAGACATGTGGCACCACGCCCAGCTAACCCAATTTTTTTTTTCCAAACTGAATAATTTATTGCTGGTCTGAGACTTCCCTTATTATACACTTAAGTGAATTTACACTGTTTCCACAAATACCAGATATCAACATTTAAAGAATTTAATAGTGACCTATTCAATAAGGCAATCATCTTGGTAACAAACTTTTATTTAAATCTTACATAACTCAAGCTTTATAAAAAGCTAACATAATTGAAAATTGCTTACCCTATTTTTAAAAAATGTTTTTGAGGCAATTTATATACAACAAAAGCAGCCATGTTAAGCACATAATGCAATCCATTTCCACATACATAACCATCACTACAATAAAGATACAGATTATTCAATTATCCTTCTCCTGTCAATCCCAGTTCCTCACTAGATCCTGTCAGACCTTAATCTTCTAAGAGTGTCCAAGCATGGATTTGTCTTTTTCATTGCTGTTTATTTGGTTTTTCTTGAGACACAGTCTCACTGTGTAGCCAGAGTGGCCTCAAACCTGTGACAATCCTTCTGCCTCAGCCTCTTGAGTGCTGGGATTACAGGAGAGGGCCACCACACTTGATTTGTCTTTTCTAGTTTCTTTTTAATGTTTTTTGAGACAGGGTCTCACCATGTACTTCAGACTGGCCTTGAACTCACTATGTAGCCGAGGTTGGCCTCAAACTCATGGCGATCCTCCTGCCTCAGCCCCTAGAGTGCCTGGCCTGCAGTTTCATATACCAAATGGAACCATACATTTTGTCCTTTTCTGTATATGTCTTTCACTGAGCATGTTTCTGAGGTTTATCCATGCTGTTGATCATATAAATAGTTTATTCCTTCTTATTGTGAAGAAGCATTCCATCATATGCCTATACCACAATTTATATCGACAGTTTAATTATATAGATAAAATGCCAATAAACAGTCTTACACCAGCCTTTTAGGGGACATACAGTATATTTTTATTTCTCTCAAATAAACTTGTAGAAGTGGAATTGCTGGATCAATTGTAGAAATCTCTTTTGTTTGTTTGTGTTGTGATACAGGAGATTAAACCCAGAACCTTTGCACTGAGCTACATCCCAAGTCCTTTTGATTTTTTTTTTTTTAATTTTTGAAACCGGGTCTTGCTAAGTTGTTCAGGAAGGACTCAAACTCACAGTCCTCTTGTCTCAGTCTCCCAAAGTGAGGTCTGTTTTAATTTTATAAAAAACTGCCATGCCAGGTATGATGCTGAACACCCCTAATCTCTGCACTTGGGAGGATGAGGCAGGAGGATCACTGTGAGTTCAAGGACAGCCTGGGCTATGAAGTGAGTTCAAGACTACATAATGAGAACCTGTCTCAAAAAAACCAAAAAAATAAGAAACTGCCGAACTCTTTTCCAAAGTAATCGAAGCATTTAACATTCCCACCAACAGTACAGGAGAGTTCTGGTTGCTACTTGTACTTGCCAACCTGGTATACAGTAAATGTATTTTGAGTAAATATGAGACCAGCAGTCTTAAACCAGGCATGGTGGCAAACGCTTGTAATTCCAGCACTTGGGAGGCTGATGCAGGAGTTTAAGGCCATCCTAGGCTACATAATGAGTCCAAAGCCAGCTTTAACCACACAGTGAGACCCTGTCTTTTTTTTTTTGGTAGGGGGAATGGAACTCAGGTCCTTGTGCTTGCAAGGCAGGCGGCAAAACCACTGAGCTAAATCCCCGGCCCAAGACCCTGTCTTAAAAAATCAACAACAGCCGGGTATTTAGCTCAGTGGTTCCGCCACCTGCCTTGCAAGCGCAAGGACCCGAGTTAAATCCCCGGTAAAAAAAAAAAAAAAAACAATGAGCCAGGGGATTTAGCTCAGTGGTTCTGGCACCTTCCTTGCAAGCACAAGGTCCCAACTTCTATGCCCGGTACCAACAAAAAAAAATAAAAATTAAATAAATAAAAAGATACTTAATATTTTTTTAAAAAATCAACAACAACAACAAAAAAACAAGACTCTCTCAAAAAGAGCAAACCAAGGGCTGGGGATTTAGCTCAGTAGTTCCGGCGCCTGCTGTGCAAGCACAAGGTCCCAATTTCGATCCCCGGTACCAAAAACAAAAAGAGCAAAACAACAACAAATTTCAAGGTTTGTGTGTGGTTTTGTTTTTGTTTCTGGTTTTTGTGGTGTTTGCCAGGCAAGGAGGTACTCTTCTAGTCCCAGCCACTACATGGGAGACTGAGGCAAGAGGATCCCTTGAGTCCAGGAGTTTGGGTTGGCAATACAGCAAGACCTCACCTCTTTAAAAAAAGAAGTTTAAAGCATTTTTGGTCTTGGACAGCTCCTCATTACTCACACCCGCTTTCCCCTCACCAAATTATCTGACCTAAATTTCAGGTGTCAAGGTCTAAACAACCCTTCTGGGTTCTGATTCAGCACTGGCTGCAGTGGAATTTTGATAAAGCCCCAGGGGAGAGGTGTTGCCCTGCCCTTCCCTGTTCTGCCAAACTCAGGGCCCAGCCAGTCTGGGGGAGGGAGCCCTCTGCTTTGGCCAAGGCTTCCCTACCAGGTCAGGGAAGCCACATGGACTCCCCCAATCCCTGCTGCCCCTCAGCCTCAGTACTGCTGTGGGATCTTCCCTGATGAAATGCAGCTTTTCCCTGTGTTTCTAGTTGCCAGTCTCTTCCCTTCCTCCCACTTTTATTTCCCAGCAGCTGCTTGAAATCACAGATTCCTGGCCTGGAGCCCAGCACAGTCTCGGACTCATGGAAGGCACTCTGTTCATACTTCCTGAATTACATCAAGGTGTTTGCGCATTTTAAATCCAGTTGGTATAGTCGATGATTTTGTTTGTGCAGCATTGTATTAAACATTGAACAGTAGTTTTTCATTTGGCCAATACCGTTATGGGGATCTCTTGGTTATGCCAAAATGTTATTGGGTAGCTCCTTCTAAAAGTGGCTCACCAATTAAGCAGTACTGGGTTCTGGGTTGCTCATTTCTCCTTCTGGAGTTAGATTCCAGGTTCTTCTCATCTGGAACAAAGAATTGAATGAAACGAGCAGAAAGCAGTGGCAAAATTTATTTGAAAAAGTAAAAGATTGAGGGAGAAACTGGCTCTACAGAGCAAGTTTGGGCTGAGTAAAAGAGGAAAAAGCAAGGTAAAATAACACCCTGGAGAAAGTAGGGTGGACTATTGTGAGGAAAGCCACAAGAGGAAAAAGCTGGGGATTTAGCACAGTGGCACCACGCCTGCCTCACAAGAGGAAGCTCTTCTTGGCACCTGTGTCCTGTTATACTGTTCAAATGGAGAACTACATAGGGGTCCAAAGAGGCGGTGCTGAGATACCACCTCTGAGGCGCTGACCTCTGGCAGACCTATTGAAAACCTGCTCCATTTTCCAGAGAAGTCTGCATGCGGGCCTTTGGGAACTGTTCTGTGCATGTGTTCTGGGATCTTGTAATTAACAGGTCACACCTACTTCCCCAGCCAGTTTTGCCGTGCCCTAATCTCCTATCTCAATACCACATTGGTTTTTCTGGAATTGGATTTGTTTACATTACTCTCCACCATTCTGTCTGTTGCACACCCTCACTCTCAACCCTGCTCAGGCTCTCTCTGAACTGTTAGGCTCCTCCATCTTGGATCTTCCTGGCACTTCTTAGGGTACAATAAAGGGTAATCTGACAGTGAGTCCCTGGATCCCTGATATCTAAGCAAGTGCCTCATCCCAAACACCTCAAGCTTCTCTACCCTTCTTCAAAAATACTTTTGGTATAACTGAAATGAAATAAGAAATGTTAATATATGATAAACAAAAAAAATACTTCTTGTATTTTAGTCTAATGGTTCCACCATCTGCCTCTCAAGGTCCCAAATTCCATCCCCGGTACCAAATAAATAAATAAATAAATAAATCTTTCTGGTAGGATGGCACTATTATTGTTTT